ATTGATTGATTGGATTGTGTGTAAAATGACTGCACTTTTATATCTAACTGTTCTTTCCTCTAATGGCACTCATTGTGCGGATGTTTTCTTCGTTATCATCCGGTGTTGGGATCGAAAAGCGCCTCAATTTGTGTATTGAAAACAATAGCACACAATAATAACAGTAATATTTTGACGCTATTTTGCGCTTTTAAAACAGGATTAAACACTAATTCAAACGAAACATTGTTTTTGACATTTTATAACATAATATTATTTTGTAAACGAAGTGTAGTTTGCAATAGGAATGTGTTATTCTTGTAAAATAACAAAAGTTTGACGAGTTATTGACATTAGATTAGGAAAGATAATGTCATTTTTGGAGAGAACTCAGTCTCAGACCTATTATAAAGAACCGGATTTGAAGCGAAAGTTGGCTCAAACCAAGAGTTGTCCGCCGACTGCGACCAGAGGCCGACGAAGCGAGTCGTCCATCCGATCCAACGGTTCGTTTGTTCCCAAACTTCCGCCTAATTTTCGTCACGAGAGCGTCACAGGAGTGACCACTTCTTCGCTCAAAGACGTCGAACTCAACGCAATCGAGAGCTCGACTTCGAGTTCCGTATTTCACGGCATTATTCTGGTGTCGATTATGTTGTCCTCATTGATAGCGTTTGTCTGCTCGAAGATGAAGAGACCGTGCGATCAGTCGGACGACTACTCCTCGTCCCATAACTGTCTCATTCCTGTCCTCTTATTCTTCTCCGTAATCACAATAATCTCGTGTTTGATATCATTTATCATATATTTCCTGCATCTGATCGGTCAGTGCGATGTCCAGTGGATCCGCAACAAGAAGTTGACCATTGAGATCGTGATTATATCGGTCATTGTTATCATGTTAATCACTGCCAATATATTGATGAGCTTAAAAACGAGAGTATTAAAAAATCCGATCGGAATATTCAGTATAGTTTGTTCGTCGCTATCAATCATCGGATACGCCATAAGAATAACTAAACTCTTCAATGAAAGCAAATATTTCGTCAAAAGAAAAACTCAAAACTCAAACCACAATAAGATCGACGAAATGGCTCTTAAGGTAATGAAAGAGAAGTTAAAGAATAAACTGAATACTGATTGCAGAAGAAGTTGGGAATTGAGTGAAAACGCCCGCAACTCTAATGATGCGAACCATCAAAGCTGTGGATCCGCTCTAAGAGTTGTCAGTTATGTGAAAAGGAAGCGATCGTTAGAGAGTACCACCAGAAGTACCACCAAAAGTATTCAGCAAAACAAAAATTCAAATTCATTTGATATGGATATCGATGACGATGTCTTCATTAATTGATAACCCGTTATCCAATATCTTCATTATCTATTAATGCCTTCATATTATGTGATAATTCATGAATTTAGTGATAACTCTATGTCAATGACATTTCTCTATCAATAATTCAATATTGAAATATTTATTCAAAATCATAAAATTTTTATAACTTATTGAATTCTATTGTATATTAAATATCAATATTTTAATGATTTTAATTTGAAATATAATTTTATTGTAAATAAATTGTAATTTAAATGAAAATACAAAATAAATTAGATTTTAATGTCATCGCGTTTATCGGTATACCAGTGACAATACAAAAATCATTTTCACAAACTTTTTGTTCAAAACTTTCTATTGTCTTCAAACAATTGTCACAATTTTCAATATTTTTATGGATTAATAGTAAACAAATACTTTGATATATTATAATGAAAACTAATTTTTAATGAATGATACAATGAAAAATATTTTTCATTTCGATGTATTAATTAAATATAAAATATATCCAAAAACAACAGTTAGAGTCAATTATACAGTACACAAACATTGCGTAAATATTCGTAGCAAAAGTATGTGGATTTGTAACCCATTTTAATTTTGGTCATTTAAATTTAAGGATTGCATGTAAATTATTTAAGGCACTTAATAATACCGGATATTCATTATATTGTAAATAAATTTGTTATAAAAATGAACAAATCATGTTTAGATTACAGATTCAAATCTGAGATAACCATCAGTCCATCACAATTACTATATGAAAAGCTTGATGATAAACACTATACCAATTAGTAATATATTAATTTATAAAACAGAAACAATTTAAACAATTATAAGAAATTTAAAAAACGGTTACCGAATAAACCTAATTAGCAAACAATTGCCAGTATTTTAAAGTAAATAATTGCTTAATTAGTTGCAAATTAAATGATTCCCAAATTCATGATTATAAATATAAAAATATCCGCGCATTGAGAATGCATTGAATGAGAGATATAAACATAATTAAAGATTTTAGACAACATTTGAACAAATGAGTGATTGGGAAGTAGTGGACAGTAATGAGGTAATGGTTGTGTCTAAGCATTAGACTGTCCGCCGACTGTAGTCCTCTCTCCCTGTGCTATCTCTCCGGCACTATAGCCCTTGTACTTAAGGAAGGCGTCGTAACCATAGATCCCAAACGCGATGAAACCAAAAACCTAAATGTAGTACAAAATGAATGAGTAATTGATTTTTTAAAGCAATTGAGAAATCAATTAATTTCAATATAAAATTTCTACGAATGAATGTGTTTTGCATTTTTAAATAATAAATCAGTACTCAATTTGAAAGGATATATTAGAAGTGTTCCCATATTATGGACTAAAGGAAAAGACAAATCAAACATTTGAAATGCTTATCAGACTATGTATTACAACACAAAAGAAACTTTAAGTGAAATTTAAAGCAATAATTTCCTCAAACTTTGAATCAATTAATTGATAATAAATGCGAGGAAAAGGGAGGCAACGGTCAGTCGTAATGACAGATAAATGTAATAACACATTAAGTATAATAAATTTCTCAAATATAAAGATATGTATGAAAAGGGATGACTCACTCCCGCAGCCGAATGGACGCCGCCGTCGATAAGCATAAGAAGTGATGACAAGAAGTAAAATGCGGTCCAAATGAGACAATAGGCAAATTCCTTTAAGTGACAAAATGACACCAAATATAAATCAATGCATATTTAAAACCATTAAAGCGATTGTCGTCCCAATAAATAGGAAATTGGAGTCAATTATGATTAATATAAATAAAATGCATTAATGAATGAATTGTTGTAACTGTGATATACATACGACCAAAAGCCAGGGCCAGAAATGCAGTTTCTCGACCACATGGAAGGAATACAGCGCCAGAAGTATAAGACTTAACCAGAAGGCCATCATTGATGTGAAACTGAAGAAACCGACTCTTATATACATACGACCAAAAGCCAGGGCCAGAAATGCAGTTTCTCGACCACATGGAAGGAATACAGCGCCAGAAGTATAAGACTTAACCAGAAGGCCATCATTGATGTGAAACTGAAGAAACCGACTCTTCCCGAGTGGGAGTCACCGAACTGTCCGATTATAAACGCTATCAAATCGATGCCCTAATCGACAATTAAATACACGTCAATAAGTTTTGTAAATCATATCAAAAAAATGAATGACACTAACGATGGCCACCGCCTTCAGGAGTCCGGGGATTGTCTGGACGTAAGACTTGTCAAACCATATCAATGGCGTTACTTTGGTTGTGGTGGACGTCGTGTGAGAGGTCGGGAAACCACCTGAACCTACGTTTGCCATCACTTCCCTGTCGTGTCACTCAATACTAACTTTATTAATATTAAATTAAATTTATTAAAATGAGCACAAAATGCAAAGCATTACAAACAGAGTGTATGATTGTATGACAACAACCAATAAATTAAAGTCAATATAAATCAACGATAAGTTTGTTATTGTGTTCACTCAGTTTTGAGATATGCTTTGAAAATAACGTATAAAATGGTTAGAGATTTCTGTTATGCAAATTGAGTTCATGTTTACCGGATGTGAGACAATGAAGACAATGGATGAGCCAAACAATAGGAGAGACGAAGTGGTGGTTGGGATGGACTGGAAGTGGTGTTTGCGGACAGCGATTGCAACGTAAGCCACAAAACTCGACACAACTTATGCTGTAATCAATGTATGAATGAATGAAAACAAACACTCCTTTCCAACACTCACTACAAATGCACACAAACTTTGAACAACTTTTTTCTTGTGAACCTCTTTTGTATCGCTTTTTATATTCCTATTCACTGCCAGTCTTATAGCCTTATTGTCTCACTTTGTTATGTGAACTCACTTTTGGTGATATTTTTTGTGAATTTATATTTTTAATTGATAAAACTTGTTAAAATTTATTAAATTATTGCCTCATTTATGACTCAATGAGTATTGCATTAAAACGGCCATAATATGGATGTTTGCCAATAGTGAGCAAACGTCCATGCTCATCTCATTGCACAATTTTACATATGGTTTATGCGCTATTTGTTTACGTTAAATATTATTTATATTTTATTTTTTGGTTACAAAACGGGTTTAATTAACATTTATATTATGGTCTCAAAGAAAAAGTGTTATTTGAATATTCAACTAATAATTTAGTTTAATATTAAACCAGATTTGAAAATATTTTAATTAGAATCGATTGAATATTTGCCAAAATAAAGTGTTTATTAGATTAGATTAAGTTTACGGACATTACAGTAGAGTCTCTGTCATGTTATCTGAGATAAAGAACTAGTTTAGAGACAACAATACAAGTAATTAACTGTTTATCTGTCATATGACTGATTAAGGCGTCGAAAGGGAGAGTTCAACACTTATTACCGACCCATCAATTGAAAGACACTTTCGATATAAACCATAAAATGAAGTGCAAATAATTGACGAGTAATTCATTTGATTTAGTATTGAGTTAATTGAAGTCCGCATTTAAATGTCTGCCAATTGTGTGGACGAATCGCTGATCCCTATCCTATCGGCGCCGACCGCTATTAATGAGGATAATATCTCGTCGATCTCCACAAGAGATCTAACCAGCGATGAGATCACTGTTGAGACGGTGAATACAAGTGGACAGTCATCTCACACCACATGTTTAGCCGCTATATTCCTGACAGTGAACGCCACACTCGGCGCCGGTCTTCTCAATATTCCGCACGC